CCCTGTTTTCTATCTCCACAGAATGGGTGGGGGGCACTGGGCTTGGGATGGAGGGAGTTTGCTGGCTGCTTTTGAGAATGGTGCAGGGCCAGGGCAAGGGTGAGCCTGCCTTAGCCCCATTGCATTACCATCCAGGAGCCACCTGAGGTAAGGAGTATCCAGCTGGAGCCAGAATCCTGAAACCCCTGCCCCAGTCATGAATCCCCTTCTGCACCCCAAGACCCTGTCCTAGACCTGAGCCCCTAAGGCCCAAACTCCCTTACAGAGCCTGTATCCTGAACTCCCTGCCCCAGACTCAGCTCAGAGCCCCCTTTACACTCCAAATCCCTTAGCCCAGGACCAGAGTCTGTGTCCTAACCCTCTGCCCCTACCTGATGAAAGGAAGGAGAATGGGTGGGGGAAGGAGGAAGGATGGAGTGAGCAAGGGTAGGGCCTCAGAGAAGGGGCACGAAGGAGACTGGGCAAGGGTATTTGGGTCTGAGGTAGATCCTGGATTGCACTTAAATTCAAAATGTGATCTTGTGTTTAAAAAGGTTTCTAGTTGAAATTTTCAGTGTTCAAGGACAGCTACACATCTTGTTTTAAATGTAATGGAAGATGTGTAGCTGTAGGATGTGTGACTGAATTTCTTAGTTTGAAAATCCCAAGCATTGTAGTTGACTTAATCACACAGTTCTACACAAACTAATTTCATCTTGTGAGTTTTGTTCATCTTTGAATATCATGACCTTTTCATATTTTTGTTGTCATAGAATCCTAGGGTTAGAAGAGACCTCAGGAGGTCATAGAGTCCAGCACCCTGCCCCAAGCAGGGCCAATCCCAACTAAATCATCCTACCCAGGGATTTGTCAAGCCAAGACTTAAAAACCTCTAGGGATGGAGAAGTTTTAAATGTGATTCTTCTTTTAATGAGCTGCTGAGCTTTTCCAGCTCACAGCTTTTCATTTGAAAGCACACTTCTAGCCATTTTCCATTTTGCAATATAATAAAACACAATGCCTGATTTTTGAGATAAGAACCACAATTCAGGAAAATATCTAGCAAAATTTTATGGGAAATGTGCTTAAAAGTTCAAGCAGACTTGGCAGTTTTCAGCCACATAAAATGGTATCAACCTTTTAATCTCAAGGTTGCAGAGATAGGTGTTCAACCTGCTGCATGTTCTATGTCCTTGATCCCTTAGTCTACAAATTCTCATTAAACTGAAGATTTATTTTTTTATCCCTCCATGTTTGTCTTGTTAGGACAGGTTGCACCTCTGAAATCCGGAATTCTCTGGTCTTGCAACATCTGTGGTCCAGCATGACCATGGATGTTCCAAGATCAGAGAGTCCTGGTGCACTGCAGGAGGAGTGGGGGCCCAGGAACCAGTTCTCATGGCTCAGTTGGACTGCAAGGGGGGAACCAGGAGCAGGTGCATGGCTCAGTTGGGCTGCAAAGTGGGTACGGACAGGGAGCTGGCACATGGTTCATCTGTGCCGGGGGACAGGGTGAGGGAACCAGTGTGTAGCTCAGCTGGGCTGAAGGGGGAGGCAGGAGCCTGCATATGGCTCATCTGAGCTACGGGTGGAGGAGGCAGCAGGGACCTAGCACGCAGCTCAGTTGGGCTGGGGAGAGGCCGGGAGCTGGTGTGTGACTCAGGTGTGGGGGGGAGCCAGAAAGCCAGTGAGGGTGGCAGCCGGCAGTAGCAGGGGCCTGAAATGACCTTACCTGGTCGAGAAAAATCCCTCATTCGGGACCAGTTAGGTCATGAGGGTGCTGGACCAGGGAGGTCCAATCTGTACTCAGAAAGGATCATACGCTTATTTGTTTGCCAGAGAGGATTTCTTACATCAGCAGCTATTCTTACTACTGCATCTTTAACAGTTATACCAGGGCTACTCAACTTTGGAAGCCCTGGGGACCACAATGATACAGCACATGCCGAGGGCCGCAATTTCAGTGTGGTTGGATATACATGCAAATATATACAAATAGCTTCTTTCACACTGATGGGCATGAATACAGAGATTAACTCAGGCATTGCAATACAGGCAGTCCCCGACTTACGTGGATCCGACTTACGTCAGATCCCTAGATACGAACGGGGTGAGGCAACTCCCGCACATGCGCAGCAGCATTCCCGGGGCTCGCTCACCTGGGTCCTAGGATCCTCCTCCTCCTCGGGCCGGCTCCGACTGGGGTCCCGCAGAGCTGCCGGGCAGAGGAAAAGTGCCTCCCCACGCCCGCTGCCCCCCCTGCCAGCAACAGGCTCCCCCCTCCCCTGAGCAACAGGCTGCTGAACAGACAAAAGCAGCCTCTCTGCCCCTCCTCCCCTCTATACATGGCGCGCTCCCG